CGTGGTTATGCAATGTGTCTTAGCCGTGAGGTGCCGTAAGTCCCGCTCTGCAAAACGATAGTCGGTTGGGCACCCGCATCTTCCCCCCATCTTTGTCCTCTGCTTTTTTTAGCACCGGGGCCCTCAACCCCCCCTCCCCCCCCCGCCTACTTTTGAGACACACACCCGACCGAAAACCCACCTCTACTCTCGCCCGAAATAACGCAACAACCAGGTGCGCGGATGACCTCCGCCACATTCGACGGCATCCTTCTATGCCGCAAGTCGCAAAATTCAGCGTCGAGAACGGCACGGTGCCGAACCCCGTGCCGGACGAACTTCGATCGCTCACGATGTCCGAGGAGATGATGATCTCCATGGCGTTCCCTGTGTGCAAGGTCATCAGGCTTGCGGGCGGGGCCCATGGGTACAAGGGGCATGTCCTGAGCATAGGCCAGGATATTGGCGGCTTCGTAGGGACTTTGCCGTGGCTTCCAAACTCCGACGAGATGCCCGTCATCATCATCCAGCCACCCGACGGCGGAAGCTGGGCGGGTCGGCAGTTCAAGGTCAGCCTCGAGCGGGTGCAGCGGGCTCTCAACTACCTCATGCTGCACAGCCCGCCGTACATGGATATTCGGTCGAGGATAGACATGGACCGGGTTCGCCGACATCTGCAAGACGAGCCGCGGGAGGACGGCGGGGAGATCGACGTCATGCGTTTATTTCACACGGTTACTGAGGAACCGCCAAACCCCGGAGGCGGCGACGGCGAAGAGGAGAAGGAGGGCAACGGGGAGGGCGCTCGCGACTACCGAGGAATCGAACCAATGCCAGACCCGGTCGAACACGAGGAGCGACAACGTGCGTGACCCTGAGGATGCATCGGGTCTGGCGGCGCGTCCTCAGCGAGGCCCGGCAGAGTCCTTCATCCCGATGCCCGGGGACGGTCGCCAGAGCGAGGCGGAGATTCTGCGGCAGCAGTTGGAGCACATGACAAACTACACGGACAACGGGCAAAGCGGGGCGGCGACCATGCAATATCCTGGGCGAGAAGCGCCCTTGCGAGAGGACACGCCTTGGCTGTGGAGCATGTGCTTTCCGACTCTCTTTCCGGACGGCGTCGGGGATACATCCCAGCCACATCAACGTACACTGACGGACGTCGACATCGTCACACATCTCATGAAGTTTGTTGATCGGCCGGAGGGAGAGGCGCCTTACTACCGTTTTGCGAGCCACAGAACATTCCGCTACTGGGCGCTGGACATGCGGCTCAGAAAAACGGCTCGGTTACGGTGCCGTATCTTCCTACGGAACAACCCGGCCCTTACCAGTCTTGATCCCAGTGAGGTTAACGACGACACCATTCGGCAGCTCATGAGCGTCGCGACCCGGTACGTCGCGAATGTGCCCGGGACGGATGGCTACTGGAAGAAGTGGGAGGGCAAGCTGGAGGACACCATCGATCAGCTTCCGTCTCTGTCGACGTTCACCACCTACTCCGCCGCCGATCACCACATGGCCGACCTCTATCGCCTGATGCCAAGGGCTGGCCCGGAGCCTGAGGCGGGTGTGGGGGCAGGCGACGTCCGTCCCATCCAGGAGCGCAACCGCCTGCTCATTGCCAACCCCCATATCGCGGACTGGTGGATCTGGGAGAGGATGCAGGTGTTCAAGAAGTACTTCCTGGGAAAGGACATGGCCAATGCTAGCTGGCACTGGGACAGGGCCGAGTGGCAGAGCAGGTCCACCCTCCACGTGCACGGGTGCAGCTCGTGGGAATGCGAGGGCGAGGAGCGTGTAACGGAGCTGGCGCGCACGTACCTGCGGGGCCACATCGGGCGGGTGCGGCCTTCGGGAGACGGTGAGGATCCCCCCGGCGACGGAGGCGTCGGTGATGAGGATATGTCGCGAGTGAAGGACGGGATATCTAGCTTCTTGTGTGGGATCGGATTCACTGCTCTCAACCTCGAACCACCGCCTACACCAGCCGATCCACAAGTTCCGACCAGCGAAGAGGCTCGTGCCCGAGGCAGGGATGAGCTGGCCAGAGACCTGCGCGCTTTCGATTGGGACGATGTCGGGGAATGCGAAAGGCGGTACAAGAACCTCGTCAACGCGTGCATGCGTCACACCCGACACGGAGGGTACTGCCTTGTGAACGGGCGCTGCCGGTTTGGCTTCCCCAAGCCCCGGCAAGAGTCGTTGGGCCTGGAGGCACACCCTCTCACTACTCCTCCGACCGACAATGTCGACGACTGGCAGCTCATCGCAACGCCACAAAACGCGTTGCCGCGGCGGGAGGGGGAGGAAGGGGAGGGTGTATTCGACCCCTGCGTCAACCGGCACGTCGTGGCACAGCTGCTGGGGTGGGGTTCGAACGTCGACTTCTCCCCAATCGTCGACATGGGCATGGCCGGGAGGTACATGGTCAAGTATACCACCAAGGGAGAGTCTCGGAGCAGGGACGTACAGACAACGCTCGCGACCCTTGTTCGCCACGCCGCTACCCTGGACGCCGACGACGACGACAGGCTTACGTTGCCTTCGATCATGCGAAAGGTCCTCAACATGGCGACGACGAGGCGAGACATGGGCGTGCAGGAGGTTCAGCACCTCAACCTACAGACCCACAACGTCCTCCACAACGTCGAGTACGTGAGGGTGTATACCGAGCAGACTTCTGTCGAAGTTGAGAGCGCCGGGGCCGACGGGGGACTTCGGCCAGTGCGGGACCTGCTCCTTGCGTACTCCCGTCGCATGGATCAAGACGCGTGGGTTCCCATCCATGGAGGAAGGCCCCAGCAGGACGCGGTCCTCGAGGAGATGAACTACTGCACGTTCGCCGCCACGTACAAGCTAACGCGGGAGAAGAAGATTACGACTCACACCCGAAATAACCGCGTCGTCTCCTTCCTTCCCATCTTCTCCCACAGCCCTACCAGCCCGAAGTACGCCGACTACTGCCGCAGCCACCTTGTGAAGTACCGCCCGTGGCGTGGCCCTCTGCACAACGGGTGGGACGGCGAGGAAGGAGAGGAGGCTACCACACAGGACGCTGCTGCCAGGCAAAACATGATAGACGCGTGGAGGACGTGGGCCACCGAAGTTCAGGCGATGCCGTTGGGACAACAACCGCGTGGTTTCTCGGCGCGAGACCTCCAGGCGGACCGCCGACGCCGAGGCCGCCGCAGCGGGGAGGGTAGCGGAGGTGAGCCCCACGAAGGCGACGGGGAAAGGAAGGAGAACGACGATGAACCCCCCAACCTCGACGGCCTGCACGGAAACGGATTGCAGGGGGGGGCTGGGGACGATGACCTAGATCGGCGGTGGAGCGACGGCCGCGACGGCAACAACGTCGACTGGGGCCAGGCGGGTTGGGCCCAGGCACAAGGAGTGCGGGAAGACTCCACTACCTGGGTGAAGGACTCTGCTGGTGCCGCGGCTGCCGGCCCCGCCTCCACAGAAGCGGCTGTGCTTCCGGTACCAGTCCTCAACGAGAAGCAGGCTCTCGCTGTAACACTGGTGAGAGATCACGCGGCGAGCCTCGACTCCTACCGAGAAGCCGTCCGCGTGAGCCGCAGAGACAACAGCGCCAGGGCCGCGCACCCCCCCCTGCCGGCGCCTCCGAGTCCTCTCCGTTTGCTGCTCACGGGGACGGCGGGCACCGGCAAGACGGTTGTCATTCGGGAGATGGTGAGGTTGGTGGGACAGCAGCGGTTCATCCTCATGGCTCCAACGGGGAACGCTGCTTGCGCCATCGGAGGAATGGTGAGCAGATATTGTCAATCATTTTTTGCATGTTCTGTTAGTTAGATTGTGCTGTGAGATCAGCCTTCCATGGTAGGGGTACGGTAAAAACACGTTGCCTCCCCTTGGACGATTTCCAACAACCTTCCCTTCGCGCTGATGCAGACCATCCACGGCGGTTTCAGGATTCCCGTCGTCCAGAGCAACCGGTCTTCGGACCCCAGCCGCATGACCGAAGCAGCTCTCAGGGACCTGCAGGAGCGCATGGCTGAGGTCGATTTCATCCTCGTCGACGAGTTCTCCATGGTGGGTCAGGACATGCTCGGCCTCATGAGCGCGAGGGGAAAACAGGCCGTGGAGGGGCGGAGGGGAGATGGAATAGAGGACTTCCGCCAAGACGTATTCGGAGGCCTGAGCATCATCCTCGTCGGCGACCCAGCACAGCTTCCTCCGGTCGGGGCTAGCCCGTTGTGGAAACACAATCCTTCCACGGGCGGCCTCAGCATGCAAGGACTGCAAGCGTGGCTGTCGATGAACAACGCCGTCGAGCTCACGCAGGTCATGCGCCAGCAAGGTCCGGAGCAGGCCGCCTTCCGCGACACACTACTGCGTATCGCCGAGGGCATGCAGACCGCAGACGACTGGGACGTACTCAAGCGAAGGTTCATCGCCGCGGTGGGGGCTGCAGAACGCGAAACCTTCGACGACGCTGTTCACATCTTCCCCACGAACGCCCTCGCCGACGACTGGAACTGGCGGCGGTTGAACTCTCTAGGAACCCCCATCGCGAGAATCAACGCCACTCACACCATCCACGGCTACAACGCGGTGTCCTCCGAAAGGTTCAGGGGCTTGCAATCGCACATCTTCCTCGCCATCGGCGCGCGTGTGTTCGTCAACAACAACGTTTGGGTCTCTGCCGGCCTTGCCAACGGAGCCGTCGGGGAAGTGGTGCACATGCAGTGGGCAGAGGGCCAAACGCCGCCACAACTGCCGGAGGTCGTGTGGGTTCGCGTGGAGAACTACCGGGGTCCTCAATACTCGAGCAACCACTCCGGAGGGACTGGGCCGACGGCGAAATCGACCTCACGAACCTCTGCCCCATCGCCCCCATGGACGTCATGGATGATCAACCACCCACGGGTCGCCGGAGAGGTGACGGCACCTCCATCGCCCGCTGCTTCAGGATGCAGTTGCCCTTGATGCTCGCCTTCGGTATCACCATCTACAAGAGTCAGGGCAACACCTTGCTACGCTGCTTCTTGGACATCGGAGCAAGCGAGAGGAGCGACGGACAATCCTTCACTGCCTTCAGCCGGTGCCGTACGCTGGAGAACATGCTCCTCGAGCCCTTCTCCCTTGAGCGCTTCCTCAAAATAGGCGACAGCCGTTCCTTCCAGTCACGACTNAGCTTCCTCAAAATAGGCGACAGCTGTTCCTTCCAGTCACGACTCAACGCCATCGACCACGTGCGGACAGTCGAGGACCGTACACGTCGTCAGCATGGCTTGCCGCCCATCGTCAGAACCGCTCGGCCCCCGAGGACACGACGGAGGGCGGGCCGCGGAGGAGGGGGGCGAGGAGATGGGGGGAGGCAGGGGGGAGTGCAAGGCGGCCGTGGTGGACGGGGTCGCGGGGGGCAGGGCCGAGGCCAGCGTTCCACGGAGAGGCCAGACCTTTCTATCCCTCCAGCCGTCGTTTCGTGGGAGGTATACGCGGTTCGCCAAATGCAGAACTCCCACACAGACTCCTGGGTGTACGTACCCTTCCTCCTCGACGCTTTTGGCGTAGATCGATATGTGCTCTTCGATAAGCCAGCCTGGTGGGATTCCGCCGTGGCAGCCTGTGCTGTCGCCCTCCAGGACGCCGGCCAACACCCAGAAGGGAATGTCAAGGACTTGCGAACCTGCGCGCAGCGTGAAGATGGAGTGGACGCGTATGGGAGTAACTACGTTACCGCCTCCAGACAGAGTCAACTCATGGAGGGTCACCCGATCGGTCAAGGGCTAGGCCTGATGGTGGTCGCCTGGCGGAACGCAATTGAGGTGGCCAAGCAACAGCTCCAACTGCCGAGAGTAACCGCCTCCCAAGTTGGCCCAGCAGTCGTACCCACCTTCATGGCCTGAGCTTTTTCGTTGTCGTGTTGGGTTTGCACCGTATGTAATTAGGTGGGTCTTCATGACTTTGTTTAGGCAACATACCTCTCGCGAGGTGTGATACGCGTGCACCTCGTCTTGGGGGGCGGGAGGAGCGTTTATCTGGACAACCAAGCACGCGTCGTTTGCAGTGTTTGTCTGTCTGTCTGTCTGTCTGTAGGTTTCCTTCCGCGTATGTGTATGATGTACTCACTTCGGGGGGGGCGGCAGGGTTGGTGCGAACAAGATAATAATAGTTTTTTTTTTTTAAAAGTGTGGCCCGTGAGGGGTACGCTTTTTGTTTTGTTGTTTTGCAAAAAAAAAACTGTTTAGAGGGATCGTGTGTGGAGTCTGTGCGCACGAGAAAAAGAATAATTTTCATGCCCTGGGGCGTAAAAATTACTCCATGGCTGTCCGTTTGGTGTCTGTCTGGTGTCTGGTGTCTGTCTGCGTGCCCTAAATACACAGCAGACTCGAGCCCATTTCACCATCTCGGCACCAAATTGCAAACTAAAACTTGCGCACAACAAGTAACATTTTGCCCGAGCTGTCCCAACCGCTACCTTTNTGGGGCGTAAAAATTACTCCATGGCTGTCCGTTTGGTGTCTGTCTGGTGTCTGGTGTCTGTCTGCGTGCCCTAAATACACAGCAGACTCGAGCCCATTTCACCATCTCGGCACCAAATTGCAAACTAAAACTTGCGCACAACAAGTAA